TTTCTGGCATCCCAACTACAAATATCCAATAGTCTCAACTCGACCAAGCCTGGCATCAACTACAAATATCCAACTATTCTCTTCATCAACTACAAATATCAATAGTCTCAACTCGACCAAGCCTATTCTCTTCTGGCATCAACTACAAATATCTATTCGACCAAGCCTCTTCTGGCATCAACTACAAATATCCAATAGTCTCAACTCGACCAAGCCCTATTCTCTTCTGGCATCCAACTACAAATATCCAATAGTCTCAACTCGACCAAGCCTATTCTCTTCTGGCATCCAACTACAAATATCCAATAGTCTCAACTCTCGACCAAGCCTATTCTCTTCTGGCATCCAACTACAAATATCCAATAGTCTCAACTCGACCAAGCCTATTCTCTTCTGGCATCCAACTACAAATATCCAATAGTCTCAACTCGACCAAGTCCTATTCTCTTCTGGCATCCAGCTACTACAAATATCCAATAGTCTCAACTCGACCAAGCCTATTCTCTTCTGGCATCCAACTACAAATATCCAATAGTCTCAACTCGACCAAGCCTATTCTCTTCTGACATCAACTGCAAATATCCAATAGTCTCAACTCGACCAAGCCTATTCTCTTCTGGCATCCAACTACAAATATCAATAGTCTCAACTCGACAGCCTATTCTCTTCTGGCATCCAACTACAAATATCCAATAGTCTCCAACTCGACCAAGCCTATTCTCTTCTGGCATCCAACTACAAATATCCAATAGTCTCCAACTCGACCAAGCCTATTCTCTTCTGGCATCAACTACAAATATCCAATAGTCTCTCAACTCGACCAGGCCTATTCTCTTCTGGCATCCAACTACAAATATCCAATAGTCTCAACTCGACCAAGCCTATTCTCTTCTGGCAGTCTCAACTCGATAAATATCCAATAGTCTCAACTCGACCAAGCCTATTCTCTTCTGGCATCCAACTACAAATATCCAATAGTCTCAACTCGACCAGCTCCATTCTCTTCTGGCATCCAACTGCAAATATCCAATAGTCTCCAACTCGACAAGCCTATTCTCTTCTGGCATCCAACTACAAATATCCAATAGTCTCAACTCGACCAAGCCCTATTCTCTTCTGGCATCCAATCACAAATATCCAATAGTCTCAACTCTAAACAAGGGCCTATTCTCTTCTGGCATCCAACTACAAATATCCAATAGTCTCAACTCGACAAGGTCCATTCTCTTCTGGCATCCAACTACAAATATCCAATAGTCTCAACTCGACCAGCCCTATTCTCTTCTGGCATCCAACTACAAATATCCAATAGTCTCAACTCGACCAAGCCTATTCTCTTCTGGCATCCAACTACAAATATCCAATAGTCTCAACTCAAACCAAGCCTATTCTCTTCTGGCATCCAACTACAAATATCCAATAGTCTCAACTCGACCAAGCCTATTCTCTTCTGGCATGCAACTACAAATATCCAATAGTCTCAACTCGACCAAGCCTATTCTCTTCTGGCATCCAACTACAAATATCCAATAGTCTCAACTCGACCAAGCCCTATTCTCTTCTGGCATCCAACTACAAATATCCAATAGTCTCAACTCGACCAAGCCTATTCTCTTCTGGCATCCAACTACAAATATCCAATAGTCTCAACTCGACCAAGCCCTATTCTCTTCTGGCATCAACTACAAATATCCAATAGTCTCAACTCGACCAAAGCCTATTCTCTTCTGGCATCCAACTACAAATATCCAATAGTCTCAACTCGACCAAGCCTATTCTCTTCTGGCATCCAACTACAAATATCCAATAGTCTCAACTCGACCAAGCCTATTCTCTTCTGGCATCAACTACAAATATCCAATAGTCCTTCAACTCGACCAAGCCTATTCTCTTCTGACATCCTAACTACAAATATCCACAGTCTCAACTCGACAAGGTCCATTCTCTTCTGACATCTAACTACAAATATCCAATAGTCTCAACTCGAAGGCCTATTCTCTTCTGGCATCCAACTGCCAAATATCCAATAGTCTCAACTCGACCAAGCCTATTCTCTTCTGGCATCCAACTACAAATATCCAATAGTCTCAACTCGACCAAGCCTATTCTCTTCTGGCATCCAACTACAAATATCCAATAGTCTCAACTAAACAAGGCCCATTCTCTTCTGGCATCCAACTACAAATATCCAATAGTCTCACCTCGACCAAGTCCTATTCTCTTCTGGCATCCAACTGCAAATATCCAATAGTCTCAACTCGACCAAGTTATTCTCTTCTGGCATCCAACTACAAATCCAATAGTCTCAACTCGACCAAGCCCTATTCTCTTCTGGCATCCAACTACAAATATCCAATAGTCTCAACTCGACCAAGCCTATTCTTCTGCATCCAACTACAAATATCCAATAGTCTCAACTCGACCAAGCCTATTCTCTTCTGGCATCCAACTACAAATATCCAATAGTCTCCAACTCGACCAAGCTATTCTCTTCTGGCATCCAACTACAAATATCAATAGTCTCAACTCGACCAAGCCTATTCTCTTAAATCCAACTACAAATATCCAATAGTCTCAACTCGACCAAGCCTATTCTCTTTCTGGCATCAACTACAAATATCCAATAGTCTCCAACTCGACCAAGCCCTATTCTCTTCTGGCATCCAACTACAAATATCCAATAGTCTCCAACTCTGACCAAGCCCATTCTCTTCTGGCATCCAACTACAAATATCCAATAGTCTCAACTCGACAAGGTCCATTCTCTTCTGGCATCCAACTACAAATATCCAATAGTCTCAACTCGACCAAGCCTATTCTCTTCTGGCATCCAACTACAAATATCCAATAGTCTCAACTCGACCAAGCCTATTCTCTTCTGGCATCCAACTACAAATATCCAATAGTCTCAACTAAACAAGGCCCATTCTCTTCTGACATCTAACTACACATATCCAATAGTCTCAACTCGACAAGGTCCATTCTCTTCTGACATGCAACTGCAAATATCCAATAGTCTCAACTCGACCAAGCCTATTCTCTTCTGGCATCCAACTACAAATATCCAATAGTCTCAACTCAACCCTATTCTCTTCTGGCATCCAACCAAATATCCAATAGTCTCAACTCGACCAAGCCCCATTCTCTTCTGGCATCCAACTACAAATATCCAATAGTCTCAACTCGACCAGGTCCATTCTCTTCTGACCAAATATCCAATAGTCTCAACTCGACCAAGCCTATTCTCTTCTGACATCTAACTACAAATATCCAATAGTCTCAACTCGACCAAGCCCCATTCTCTTCTGGCATCCAACTACAAATGGTCTCAACTCCAAGCCTATTCTCTTCTGTCTCCAACTCTGGAAAATATCCAATAGTCCAACTCGATAAAGCCTATTCTCTTCTGGCATCAACTACAAATATCCAATAGTCTCAACTCGACCAAGCCCTATTCTCTTCTGGCATCCAACTACAAATATCCAATAGTCTCAACTCGACAAAGCCTATTCTCTTCTGGCATCCAACTACAAATATCCAATAGTCTCAACTCGACCAAGCCTATTCTCTTCTGGCATCCAACTACAAATATCCAATAGTCTCAACTCGACAAGCCCTATTCTCTTCTGGCATCCAACTACAAATATCCAATAGTCTCAACTCGACCAAGCCTATTCTCTTCTGGCATCCTTACAAATATCCAATAGTCTCAACTCTCTGACCATTCTCAACTGGCATCTAACTACATATCCAATAGTCTCAACTCGACCAAGGTCCATTCTCAAATTCTAGTCTCATCGACCAACTATTTCTTCAAATCCAATCCAATAGTCTCAACTCGACCAAGCCTATTCTCTTCTGGCATCCAACTACAAATATCCAATAGTCTCCAACTCGACCAAGCCTATTTCTCTTCTGGCATCCAACTACAAATATCCAATAGTCTCCAACCTGACGTCAAGCAAATATCCTATTCTCTTCTGACATCCAACTACAAATATCCAATAGTCTCAACTCGACCAAGCCCATTCTCTTGACATGCAACTACAAATATCCAATAGTCTCCAACTCGACCAAGCCTATTCTCTTCTGGCATCCAACTACAAATATCCAATAGTCTCCAACTCGACCAGGCCCATTCTCTTCTGGCATCCAACTACAAATATCCAATAGTCTCAACTAAACAAGGCCCATTCTCTTCTGACATCTAACTACAAATATCCAATAGTCTCCAACTCGACAAGGTCCATTTCTTCTGACATCCAACTACAAATATCCAATAGTCTCAACTCGACCAAGCCTATTCTCTTCTGACATCCAACTACAAATATCAATAGTCTCAACTCGACAAGGTCCATTCTCTTCTGGCATCCAACTACAAATATCCAATAGTCTCAACTCGACCAAGCCTATTCTCTTCTGACGTCTAACTGCAAATATTCTCTGGCAAGCCAAGCCCCATTCTCTTCCAGTCTCAACTACAAATATCCAATAGTCTCCAACTCGACCAAGCCTATATTCTCGCATCCAACTACAAATATCCAATAGTCTCAACTCGACCAAGCCTACAAATTCTCTTCTGGCATCCAACTACAAATATCAATAGTCTCAACTCGACCAATTCTTCTGGCATCCAACTACAAATATCCTAGTTCAACTCTTCTGACATCCAACTACAAATATCCAATAGTCTCAACTCGATTAAGGTCCATTCTCTTCTGACATCCAACTACAAATATCCAATAGTCTCAACTCGACCAAGCCTATTCTCTTCTGGCATCTAACACAAATATCCAATAGTCTCAACTCGACCAAGCCTATTCTCTTCTGGCATCCAACTACAAATATCCAATAGTCTCAACTCGACCAAGCCTATTCTCTTCTGACATCCAACTACAAATATCCAATAGTCTCAACTAAACAAAACCTGATTCTCTTCTGACATCCAACTACAAATATCCAATAGTCTCCAACTCGACCAAGGTCCATTCTCTTCTGACATGCAACTGCAAATATCAATAGTCTCAACTCGACCAAGCTATTCTCTTCTGGCATCCAACTACAAATATCCAATAGTCTCAACTCGACAAGGCCCATTCTCTTCTGGCATCCAACTACAAATATCCAATAGTCTCAACTCGACAAGGTCCATTCTCTTCTGGCATCCAACTACAAATATCCAATAGTCTCAACTCGACCAAGCCTATTCTCTTCTGACATCTAACTACACATATCCAATAGTCTCAACTCGACAAGGTCCATTCTCTTCTGGCATCCAACTACAAATATCCAATAGTCTCAACTCGACCTGTTCTCTTCTGGCATCCAACTACAAATATCCAATAGTCTCAACTCGACCAAGCCTATTCTCTTCTGGCATCCAACTACAAATATCCAATAGTCTCAACTCGACCAAGCCCTATTCTCTTCTGGCATCCAACTACAAATATCCAATAGTCTCAACTCGACCAAGGCCCATTCTCTTCTGACATCTAACTACACATATCCAATAGTCTCAACTCGACCAAGCCCTATTCTCTTCTGGCATCCAACTACAAATATCAATAGTCTCAACTCGCCAAGCCTATTCTCTTCTGGCCAACTACAAATATCCAATAGTCTCTCGACCAAGCCCATTCTCTTCTGACATCTAACTACAAATATCCAATAGTCTCAACTCGACCAAGCCATTCTCTCTGGCATCCAACTGCAAATATCCAATAGTCTCAACTCGACCAAGCCTATTCTCTTGGCATCCAACTACAAATATCCAATAGTCTCAACTCGACCAAGCCCTATTCTCTTCTGGCATCCAACTACAAATATCAATAGTCTCAACTCGACCAAGCCTATTCTCTTCATCCAATCCAAATACAAATATCCGGCTCAACTCAAACCAAGTCAACTCCAACTATTCTCTTCTGGCATCCAACTACAAATATCCAATAGTCTCAACTCGCCAAGCCCTATTCAAGGTCAATGGTCTCAACTCATTTAAACCCATTCTCTTCTGACATCCAACCACAAATATCCAATAGTCTCCAACTCGACCAAGCCTATTCTTCTGACATCCAACTACAAATATCCAATAGTCTCAACTCGACCAAGCCTATTCTCTTCTGGCATCCAACTACAAATATCCAATAGTCTCAACTCGACCAAGCCCTATTCTCTTCTGGCATCCAACTACAAATATCCAATAGTCTCAACTCGACCAAGCCTATTCTCTTCTGGCATCCAACTACAAATATCCAATAGTCTCAACTCGACCAAGCCTGACCGGCGTCCAACTACAAATATCCAATAGTCTCAACTCGACCAAGCCTATTCTCTTCTGGCATCCAACTGAAAATATCCAATAGTCTCAACTCGACCAACCCATTCTCTTCTGGCATCCAACTACAAATATCCAATAGTCTCTCAACTCGACCAAGCCTATTCTCTTCTGGCATCCAACTACATCAATATCCAATAGTCTTCAACTCTAACTACACATATCCATTCTCTCGACAGCCTATTCTCTTCAACTGCAAATATCCAATAGTCTCAACTCGACCAAAGCCTATTCTCTTCTGGCATGCAAATATCCAATAGTCTCAACTCGACCAAGCCTATTCTCTTCTGGCATCCAACTACAAATATCCAATAGTCTCAACTCGACCAAGCCTATTCTCTTCTGGCATCCAACTACAAATATCCAATAGTCTCAACTCGACCAAGCCTATTCTCTTCTGGCATCCAACTACAAATATCCAATAGTCTCCAACTCGACCAGCTCTTCTATTCTCTTCAACTCGGCCTACCAAATATCCAATAGTCTCAACTCGACCAGCTTCTTCTCTTCGCATCCAACTACAAATATCCAATAGTCTCAACTCGACAAGCCTGTTCTCTTCTGGCATCCAACTACAAATATCCAATAGTCCTGGCATTCTCTTCCAATCCAACTACAAATATCCAATAGTCTCAACTCATTAAGGTCCATTCTTCTGTGCAGCTGGAAATATCCAATGTCGACCAAGCCTATTTCTTCTGGCATCCAACTACAAATCAAAGTCTCAACCATTCAAGGCCTATTCTCTTCTGGCATCCAACTACAAATATCCAATCCAATCGAGTCTCTTCTGACATGTAACTGCAACATATCCAATAGTCTCCAACTCGACAAGGTCCATTCTCTTGGGCATCCAACTGCAAATATCCAATAGTCTCAACTCGACCAAGCCCTATTCTCTTCTGGCATCCAACTACAAATATCCAATAGTCTCAACTCGACCAAGCCTGTTCTACCTGGCATCCAACTTCAATGGTCTCATCCAACTGACATCAAATATCCAATAGTCTCAACTCGACCAAGCCTATTCTCTTCTGGCATCCAACTACAAATATCCATAGTCTAGTCTCAAGCCCTATTCTCTTCGACCAAATATCCAATAGTCTCAACTCGACCAAGCCTATTCTCTTCTGGCATCCAACCACAAATATCCAATAGTCTCCAATTCTCTTCACCAACTAAATATCCAATAGTCTCAACTCGACAGGTCCATTCTCCAACTACAAATATCCAATAGTCTCAACTCGACCAAGCCTATTCTCTTCTGGCATCCCAACTACAAATATCCAATAGTCTCAACTCGACCAAGCCTATTCTCTTCTGGCATCCAACTACAAATATCCAATAGTCTCAACTCGACCAAGCCCCATTCTCTTCTGGCATCCAACTACAAATATCCAATAGTCTCAACTCGACCCAAATCCCTGCAAATATCAATAGTCTCAACTCGACCAAGCCTATTCTCTTCTGACATCCAACTCAATAGTCTCAACTCTGGCTATTCTCTTCCATCCAACTACAAATATCCAATAGTCTCAACTCGACCAAGCCTCATTCTCTTCTGGCATCCAACTACAAATATCCAGGTCTCAACTCGACCAAGCCTATTCTTCTGGCATCCAACTCCTCCAATAGTCTCAACTCTGACCAAACCCATTCTCTTCTGACATCCAACTACAAATATCCAATAGTCTCAACTCGACAAAGCCTATTCTCTTCTGGCATCCAACTACCAAATATCCAATAGTCTCAACTCGACCAAGCCTATTCTCTTCTGGCATCCAACTACAAATATCCAATAGTCTCAACTCGACCAAGCCTGTTCTCTTCTGGCATCCAATACTGGTATCCAATAGTCTCAACTCGACAAGGCCCATTCTCTTCTGGCATCCAACTACAAATATCAATAGTCTCAACTCGACCAAGGTCCATTCTCTTCTGGCATCCAACTGCAAATATCCAATAGTCTCAACTCGACCAAGCCTATTCTCTTCTGGCATCCAACTTCAAATATCCAATAGTCTCAACTCGACCAAGCCTATTCTTCTGGCATCCAACCACAAATATCCAATAGTCTCAACTCGACCAAGCCTATTCTCTTCTGGCATCCAACTATCAAATATCCAATAGTCTCCAACTCGATCTGGTTTATTCTCTTCTGGCATCCAACTACAACATCCAATAATCTCAACTCGACCAACCTATTCTCTTCTGGCATCCAACTACAAATATCCAATAGTCTGAACTCGACCAAGCCCTATTCTCTTCTGGCATCCAACTACAAATATCCAATAGTCTCAACTCGACCAGCCTATTCTCTTCTGGCATCCAACTACAAATATCCAATAGTCTCAACTCGACCAAGCCCCTATTCTCTTCTGGGGCATCCAACTGCAAATATCCAATAGTCTCCAACTCGACCAGGCTTCTTCTCTTCTGGCATCCAACTACAAAGCATCCAATAGTCTCCAACTCGTTAAGCCTATTCTCTTCTGGCATCCAACTACAAATATCAATAGTCTCAACTCGACCAACCTTATTCTATTCTGACATCCAACTACAAATATCCAATAGTCTCAACTCGACCAAGCCCTATTCTCTTCTGGCATCCAACTACAAAAATATCAATAGTCTCCAACTCGACCAAGCCTATTCTCTTCTGGCATCCAACTACAAATGTCAATAGTCTCAACTCGACCAAAGCCTATTCTCTTCTGGCATCCAACTACAAAAATATCTGACAATAGTCTCTTCTGGCATCCAACCAAATATCCCTCGACCAAGCCTATTCTCTTCTGGCGTCAACTACAAATATCCAATAATCTCAACTTGACCAAGCCTATTCTCTTCTGGCATCCAACTACCAAATATCAATAGTCTCAACTCGACCAAGCCTATTCTCTTCTGGCATCCAACTACAAATAAATATCTCAATAGTCTCAACAAATATCAACAAAGGTCCATTCTCTTCTGGCATCCAACTGCAAATATCAATAGTCTCAACTCGACCAAGCCTATTCTCTTCTGGCATCAACTACAAATATCGAATAGTCCAACTCGACCAAGCCCTATTCTCTTCTGTCGGCATCAACTACAAATATCCAATAATGTCAACTCTGACCAAGCCTATTCTCTTCTGGCATCCAACTTCCACAAATATCAATAGTCTCAGCTCGCATCCAACTACAAAATATCAGCCCCTACCTGTTCTCTTCTGGTCAACTACAAATATCAATAGTCTACTCGACCAAGCTATCCGTTAGTCCAAATAGTCTCAACTCGACCAAGCCTGACTGGCGTCCCTATTCTCTTCCTCGGCATCCAACTACAAATATCCAATAGTCTCAACTCGACCCTATTCTCTTTCTGACATCCAACTACAACATCCACAGTCTCAACTCGACAAAGCCCCATTCTCTTCTGGCATCCAACTACAAATATCAATAGTCTCAACTAAACAAGGCCCATTCTCTTCTGATCACTGCAAATCAATAGTCTCAACTCGGCCAAGCCTATATCCACTAGTCCCAAAGTCTCGACTCAAGGTCCATTCTCTTTCTGGCATGCAACTACAAATATCAATAGTCTCAACTCGACCAAGCCCTATTCTCTTCTGGCATCCAACTACAAATATCCAATAGTCTCAACTCGATAAGCCTATTTCTTCTGGCATCCAACTACAAATATCCAATAGTCTCAACTCGACCAAGCCTATTCTTTTCTGGCATCCAACTGCAAACATCCAATAGTCTCAACTCGACCAAGCCCATTCTCTTCTGGCATCCAACTACAAATATCCAATCAACTCTGACCCATTCTCTTCTGGCATCCCGCCAACTCGACCCAAGGCCTCCAATACCACAAATGTCTCCAACTCTGATTCTCTTCTGGCTCAACTACAAATATCCAATAGTCTCAACTCGACAAGGTCCATTTCTTCAGCATCAACTACAATATCCAATAGTCTCAACTCGCCAAGCCTATTCTCTTCTGGCATCAGCTACAAATGTCAATAGTCTCAACTCGACCAAGCCTATTCTCTTCTGGCATCCAACTACAAATATCCAATAGTCTCAACTCGACCAAGCTATTCTCTTCTGGCATCCAACTACAAATATCAATAGTCTCAACTCGACAAGCCCATTCTCTTCTGGCATCCAACTACAAATATCAATAGTCTCAACTCGACCAAAATTCCATTCCTCTTCTGGCATCCAACCTGCAAATATCCAACCAGTCTCAACTCGACAAGGGTCCATTCTCTTCTGGCGTCAACTTCTACAAATACTCGACAATAGACATCCAGCACACAAATATCAACTCGACCAAGCCTATTCTCTTCTGGCATCCAACTACAAATATCAATAGTCTCCAACTCGACAAGGTCCATTCTCTTCTGGCATCCAACTACAAATATCCAATAGTCTCAACAAACCAAGCCTATTCTCTGGCATCCAACTACCAAATATCCAATAGTCTCAACTCGACCAAGCTATTCTCTTCTGGCATCCAACTACAAATATCAATAGTCTCAACTCGACCAAGCCTATTCTCTTCTGGCATCCAACTACAAATATCCAATAGTCTCAACTCGACAAAGTCCATTCTCTTCTGGCATCCAACTACAAATATCCAATAGTCTCAACTCGACCAAGTCCATTCTCTTCTGGCATCCAACCACAAATATCAATAGTCTCCAACTCGACAGGTCCTATTCTCTTCTGGCATCCAACTACAAATATCAATAGTCTCCAACTCGACCAAGCCATTCTCTTCTGTATTCTCTTCTGTCCAACTACAAATATCAATAGTCTCAACTCGACCAAGCCTATTCTCTTCTGGCATCCAACTACAAATATCCAATAGTCTCAACTCGACAAGCCTATTCTCTTCTGGCATCAACTGCAAATATCCAATAGTCAACTCGACCAAGCCTATTCTCTTCTGGCATCCAACTACAAATATCCAATAGTCTCAACTCGACCAAGCCTATTCTCTTCTGGCATCCAACTTCAAATATCCAATAGTCTCAACTCGACCAGGTCCTATTCTCCTTCTGGCTGTCAACTATTAAATATCCAATAGTCTCAACTCGACCAAAGCCTATTTCTCTTCTGGCATCCAACTACAAATATCCAATAGTCTCCAACTCGACCAAGCCTATTTCTCTTCTGGCATCCAACTACAAATATCCAATAGTCTCAACTCGACCAAGCCTATTCTCTTCTGGCATCCAACTGCAAACATCCAATAGTCCTCAACTCGACCAACTGGCGTCAACCCTATTCTCATTCTCTGGCATCCAACTACAAATATCCAATAGTCAACTCGACCAACCCTATTCTCTTCTGGCATCCAACTACAAATATCCAATAGTCTCTCGGCCAAGCCCTGTTCTCTTCTGGACAAATATCAATATTCCTCTTCTGGCGTCAACTACAAATATCCAATAGTCTCAACTCGACCTGTCCATTCTCTTCTGGCATCCAACTACAAATATCCAATAGTCTCAACTCGACCAAGCCTATTCTCTTCTGGCATCCAACTACAAATATCCAATAGTCTCCAACTCGACCAAGTTTATTCTCTTTCTGGCATCCAACTACAAATATCCAATAGTCTCAACTCGACCAAGCCTATTCTCTTCTGGCATCCAACTACAAATATCCAATAGTCTCAACTCGACCAAGCCCTATTCTCTTCTGGCATCCAACCATCAATAGTCTATCGACCAGCCTGTTCTAGTCCGCTCGACCAACTACTGACGTCAATAAATCCTCTCAACCAAGACCTATTCTTCTGGCATCCAACTACAAATATCCAATAGTCTCCAACTCGACCAAGCCTATTCTCTTCTGGCATCAACTACAAACATCCAATTGTCCTCAACTCGACCAAGCCTATTCTTCTGGCATCCAACTACAAATATCCAATAGTCTCAACTCGACCAAGCCATTCTCTTCTGGCATCCAACTTCAAATATCCAATAGTCTCAACTCGATAAGCCTATTCTTTTCTGGCATCAACTACAAATATCCAATAGTCTCAACTCGACCAAGCTATTCTCTTCTGGCATCCAACTACAAATATCAATAGTCTCCAACTCGAAACCCTATTCTCTTCATCCAACTACAAATATCCAATAGTCTCAACTCGACAAGGTCTATTCTCTTCTGGCATCCAACTGCAAATATCCAATAGTCTCAACTCGACCAGCCTATTCTCTTCTGACGTTGCAAATGGCATCCAACTACAAATATCCAATAGTCTCAACTTGACCAAGCCTATTCTCTTCTGGCAACTACAAATATCCAAAGTCTCCAACTCGACCAAGCCTATTCCTTGGTCCGTCCAACAAATATCCAATAGTCTCAACTCATCAGGCCTATTCTCTTCTGGCATCCAACTACAAATATCCAACCAGTCTCAACTCGACCAAGCCCTATTCTCTTCTTCTGGCATCCAACTGCAAATATCAATAGTCTCAACTCGACCAAGCCTATTCTCTTCGGCGTCCAACACAAATATCCAATAGTCTCCAACTCGACCAAGCCCTATTCTCTTCTGGCATCCAAATATCAAAGTCTCCAACTCCAATAGTCTCAGCTCATCGACCAACTCGACCTATTCTCTTCTGGCATCCAACTACAAATATCCAATAGTCTCAACTCGACCAAGCCCCTGTATTCTCTTTCATCAACTACAAATAATCCGGCCGGGTCTCGGCTCATCCAAGCCTATTCTCTTCTGGCATCCAACTAAAATATCCAATAGTCCAACTCGACCAAGCCTATTTCTTCTGGCATCCAACTACAAATATCCAATAGTCTCCAACTCGACAAAGCCTATTCTCTTCTGGCATCCAACTACAAATATCCAATAGTCTTAAACTCGACAAGCCTATTCTCTTCTGGCATCCAACCACAAATATCCAATAGTCTCAACTCGACCAGGTCCATTCTCTTCTGGCATCCAACTACAAATATCCAATAGTCTCAACTAAGCAAGCCCATTCTCTTCTACTTCACCCAAATATCCAATAGTCTCAACTCGACAAGGTCCATTCTCTTCTGACATGCAACTACAAATATCCAATAGTCCAACTCGACCAAGCCTATTCTTCTTCTGCATCCAACTACAAATATCAATAGTCTCAACTCGACCAGGTCTATTCTCTTCTGGCATCCAACTCGACCAAGCCTATTCTCTTCTGACATCAACTGCAAATATCCAATAGTCTCTCGACCAAGCCTATTCTCTTCTGGATCCAATAGGTCCTATTCTCTTCTGGCATCCAACTACAAATATCCAATAGTCTCAACTCACAAGCCCTATTCTCTTCTGGCATCCAACTGCAAATATCAATAGTCTCAACTCGACCAAGCCTATTCTCTTCTGGCATCCAACTACAAAACATCCAATAGTCTCCAACTAAACAAGGCCCATTCTCTTCGACATCCAACTACAAATATCCAATAGTCTCAACTCGACAAGGTCCATTCTCTTCTGACATGCAACTACAAATATCCAATAGTCTCAACTCGACCAAGGTCCATTCTCTTCTGGCGTCCAACTTGTAACATCCAATAGTCTCCAGCTCGACCAAGCCTATTTCTTCTGGCATCCAACTACAAATATCCAATATTCTTCTGGCATCCGATACAAAACCAATAGTCTCGCTCTGACCAAGTCGGCTACAAATATCCAATGGTCTCCAACTCGACCAAGCCTATTCTCTTCTGGCATCCAACTACAAAATATCCAATAGTCTCCAACTCGACCAAGCCTATTCTCTTCTGGCATCCAACTACAAATATCCAATAGTCTCAACTCGACCAAGCCATTCTCTTCTGGCATCCAACTACAAATATCCAATAGTCTCAACTCACCAAGCTATTCTCTTCGGCATCCAACTACAAATATCCAATAGTCTCAACTCATCCAAGCCTATTCTTCTCTGGCAGTCTCCAACTCGACAAGCCATCCAACTAAAAGTCCAATAGTCTCCAACTCGACCAAACTCCATTCTCTTCTGGGCATCCAACAAATATCAACATCTCAACTAGTCCAAACCCCTATTCTCTTCGGCATCCAACTACAAATATCCAATAGTCTCTAACTCGACCAAGCCTATTCTTCTGACATCCAACTACACATATCCAATAGTCTCTCAACTCGACAAAGTCCATTCTTGGCATCAACCAAATATCCAATAGTCTCCAACTCGACCGGGCCTGTTCTCTTCTGGCATCCAACCATAAATACTCAATAGTCTCAACTCGACAAGGTCCATTCTCTTCTGGCATCCAACTTCAAATATCAATAGTCTCAACTCGACCAAGCCTCCATTCTCTTCTGGCATCCAACTACAAATATCCAATAGTCTCAACTAAACAGGCCCATTCTCTTCTGACATCCAACTACAAATATCCATCCAAGTTATTTAGTCCCAACTCGATCCAATAGTCTCCAACTCGTTAAACTATTCTTTCTGGCATCCAACTACAAATATCCAATAGTCTCAACTCTGACCAAGCCTATTCAAATATCCAATGCACTCGACCAATTCTCTTCTGGCATCCAACAATATCCAATAGTCCTAACTCGACCGACTGGCCTATAATATCCAATATCTCTCGGCAAAGGTTGTTATTCTCTTCTGGCATCCAACCACAAATATCCAATAGTCTCCAACTCGACCAAGCCCTATTCTCTCTGCATCCAACTGAAATATCCAATAGTCTCAACTCGACCAAGCCTATTCTCTTCTGGTATCCAACTACAAATATCAATAGTCTCAACTCGACCAGCCTATTCTCCACAACTACTATCCTAGTCTCAACTCGCATCCAACTACAACATCCAACAGTCCCAACTCGACCAAGCCCATTCTCTTCTGGCAAATATCCAACCTCAAACATCCAAAATATCCACAGTCTCCAACCGACCAGCCTATTCCTTCTGGCATCCAACCACAAATATCCAATAGTCCCAACCGACCGCCCATTCTCTTCTGGCATCCAACCAAATATCCAATAGTCCCAACTCGACCAGGCCCATTCTCTTCTGGCATCCAACCACAAATATCCCCAGTCTCAACTCGAGCCCTATTCTCTTCCTGACGTCCATTCTCTCTGGCATCCAACTACAAATATCCATAGTCTCAACTAAACAAGGTCCATTCTGGCATCTAACCACAAATATCCAATAGTCTCAACTCGACAAGGTCCATTCTCTTCTGGCATCCAACTACAAATATCCAATAGTCAACTTGACCAAGCTATTCTTCTGACATCAAATATCATGTAGTCTCCCAACTCGATAAGCCATCTTCAACTACAAATATCCAATAGTCTCCAACTCGACCAAGCCTATTCTCTTCTGGCATCCAACTACAAATATCCAATAGTCTCGACAACTTCTGGCATCCAAGCCAAATATATTCTCTCTCTGGCATCCAACTACAAATATCCAATAGTCAACTGACCAACTTCTGGACCATAGTCTCCCTATTCTTGTCTGGCATCCAACTATCCAAATATCCTGGCATAACTACAACATTCAATAGTCTCAATCCGACCTCGCTTCATTCTCTTCTGGCATCCAACTACAACATCCAATAGTCTCAACTAAACAAGGCCCATTCTCTTCTGACATCTAATCACATTATTATCCACAACTTCAACTCGACAAGGTCCATTCTTCTGACATGCAACTGCAAATATCCATTAGTCTCTAACTCGACCAAGCTTCATTCTCTTCTGGCATCCAACTACAAATATCCATTGTCTCAACTGACCAAGCCTATTCTCTTCACATCCAACTATTAAACATCCAATAGTCTCAACTCGACCAAGCCTACCTCTTCTGGCATCCAACTACAAATATCCAATAGTCCTGCTAACTCGACTGCTCATTCTCTTCTGGCATCCAATCATAAATATCAATAGTTCAACTCCTACCAAGCCTATTCTCTTCAGCATCCAACCACAAATATCCAACTCAAGACCAAGCCTATTCTCTTCCTGGACCAACGCTACAAATATCCAATAATCTGGCATCTTCTGAATCTAACTACAAATATCCAATAAGTCTCCAACCAAACAAGGCCCATTCTCTTCTGACATCTAACTGCACATATCCAATAGTCTCAACTCGACAAGGTCTATTCTCTTCTGACATGCAACTACACATATCCAATAGTCTTAACTCGACAAGGTCCATTCTCTTCTGGCATCAACTACAAATATCCAATAGTCTCAACTCGACCAAGCCTATTCTCTTTGGCATCCAACTACAAATATCCAATAGTCTCAACTCGATGAGGTCCATTCTCTTCTGGCATCCAACTAAATATCCAATAGTCTCAACTCGACCAAGCCCTATTCTCTTCTGGCATCCAACTACAAATATCAATAGTCTCCAACTCGACCTTCTATTCTCTTCTGGCATCCAACTACAAATATCAATAGTCCTCCAACTCGACCAAGCCTGTTATTCTCTTCTCTGCATCCAACCTAAATATCCAATAGTCTCAACTAAACAGGCCCATTCTCTTCTGACATCCAATTACAAATATCCAATAGTCCCAACTAAACAAGGTCCATTCTCTTCTGACATGCAACTACAAATATCCATTAGTCTCAACCTCGACATTGACCCATTCTCTCTGACATCAACTACACATATCCAATAGTCTCAACTCGACAGGTCCATTCTCTTCTGGCATCCAACTACAAATATCCAATAGTCCCAACTCGACCGTTCCTATTCTCTTCTGACATCCAACTACAAATATCCAATAGTCCCAACTCGACCAAAGCCTTCTCTTCTGGCATCCAACTACAAATATCCAATAGTCCCAACCTCGACCAAGCCTATTCTCTTCTGGCATCAACTACAAATATCCAATAGTCCCAACTCGACCGCCCATTCTTCTGGCATCCAACTACAAATATCCAATAGTCTAAACAAACTTCTGACCTAACTACACACATATCCAATGAACTCAACTGACAAGGTCATCCAACTGCCAAATATCCAATAGTCTCCAACTCGACCAAGCCTATTCTCTTCTGACATTCTCTTCTAGGCAATCCAACTCACAAAATATCCAATAGTCTCCAACTCGACCAAGCCTATTCTCTTTCTGGCATCAACTACAAATATCCAATAGTCTCAACTCGACTACAAATAAGCCTCGGCCAAGCTCTTCTGCATCCAACTACAAATATCCAATAGTCTCAACTCGACCAACCCTATTCTCTTCTGGCATCCATCAACTACAAATATCCATGGTCTCAACTCGACCAAGCCTATTCTCTTCTGGCATCCAACTACAAATATCCAATAGTCTCAACTCGACCAAGGCCTATTCTCTTCTGACATCTAACTACACATCAATAGTCTCAACTCGACAAGGTCATTCTCCAATGCAAGCAAATATCCTTAATTCTCTTAACTTCATGGATAGTCCATTCTCTTCGGCATCCAATTACAAATATCAATAGTCCCTCCAACTCATTAGGGGTCCATTCTCTTCTGGCATCCAACTGCAAAATATCAATAGTCTCAACTGACCAATGACCATTCTCTTCATCCAACTACAAATATCAATAGTCTCAACTCGACCAATCCTATTCTCTTCCTATTCTCTTCTGGCATCCAACTACAAATATCCAATAGTCTCAACTCGACCAAGCCTATTCTCTTCTGGCATCCAACTACAAATATCCAATAGTCTCAACTCGACCAAGCCTATTCTCTTCTGGCATCCAACTACAAATATCCAATCGACCAAGCCCATTCTCTTCTCTCAACTCAAATATCCAATAGTCTCAACTCGACCAAGCCTATTCTCTTCTGGCATCCAACTACAAATATCCAATAGTCTCAACTCGACCAAGCCTATTCTTCTGGCATCCAACTACAAATATCCAATAGTCTCAACTCGACCAAGCCTATTCTCTTCTGGCATCCAACTACAAATATCCAATAGTCTCAACTCGACCAAGGTCGACCAAGCCTATTCTCTTCTGGCATCCAACTACAAATATCCAATAGTCTCAACTCGACCAAGCCTATTCTCTTGGCACATCAACTACAAATATCCAATAGTCTCAACTCGACCAAGCCCATTCTCTTCTGGCATCCAACGCAAATATCAAATATCCAATAGTCTCAACTCGACCAAGCCTATTCTCTTCTGGCATCCAACTACAAATATCCAATAGTCTCAACTCGACCAAGCCTATTCTCTTCTGGCATCCAACTACAAATATCCAATAGTCTCAACTCGACCAAGCCTATTCTCTTCTGGCATCCAACTACAAATATCCAATAGTCTCAACTCGACCAAGCCTGTTCCTGGCATCCAACTACAAAAATTCAATAGTCTCAACTCGACCAAGCCTATTCTCATCCAACTACAAATATCCAATAGTCAACTCGACCAAGCCTATTCTCTTCCAAATATCCGGCATCCAGCCTACTACAAATATCCAATAGTCTCAACTCGACCAAGCCCATTCTCTTCTGGCATCCAACTACAAATATCCAATAGTCTCAACTCGACCAAGCCTATTCTCTTCTGGCATCCAACTACAACATCAATAGTCTCAACTCGACCAAGCTCCTGTTCTCTTCTGGATGCCGAACTTTCAACATCCAATAATTCAACTCGACAAGGTCCATTTCTCTTCTGACATCTAACTTCCGTAAATATCCAATAGTCTCAACTCGACAGGAATAAAATTCTCTTCTGACATCCAACTGCAAATATCCAGTCTCAACTCGACCAAGCCTATTCTCTTCTGGCATCAACTACAAACATCCAATAGATTCAACTCCAAGCCTATTCTCTTCTGGCATCCAACTACAAATATCCAATAGTCTGTAACTCGACCAGCCTATTCTCTTCTGGCATCCAACTACCAAATATCCATTAGTCTAACCCTAAACAAGTTTCTCCTATTCTCTGACATGACGTCTAACTACACTATGTCGACAAGGTAGTCTCCAACTCGACAAGGGTCCCATTCTCTTCTGCATCCAACTGCAAACATCCAATAGCGTCTCCAACTCTCCGATTAAACCTATTTCTCTCTGGCATCCAACTACAAATATCCATTAGTCTCAACTCGACCGCCTATTCTTCTGGCATCCAACTACAACATCCAATAGTCTCAACTCGACCAAGTTTATACTCTTCTGGCATCCAACTACAAATATCCAATAGTCTCAACTCGACCAAGCCTATTCTCTCTGGCATACAACCAAATATCCAATAGTCTTAACTCGACCAAGCCTATTCTCTTCTGGCATCCAACTACAACATCCACAGTCTCAACTCGACCAAGTCGCCCTTCTGGCATCCAACTACAAATATCCAATAGTCTCAACTCGACCAGGTCCATATCTCTTCTGGCATCCAACTACAAATATCAATAGTCTCAACTCGACCAAGCCTATTCTCTTCTGGCATCCAACTACAAATATCAATAGTCTCAACTAACCAAGCCTATTTCTCTTCTGACATCCAACTACAAATATCCAATAGTCTCAACTCGACAAGCCTATTCTCTTCTGGCATCCAAATATCCAATAGTCTCAACTCGACCAAAACTCGACCAAATATCTCAATAGTCAATAGTCAACTCGACCAAGCCTATTCTCTTCTGGCATCCAACTGCAAATATCCAATAGTCTCAACTCGACCAAGCCTATTCTCTTCTGGCATCCAACTACAAATATCCAATAGTCTCAACTCGACCAAGCCTAACTATTCTCTTCTGGCATCCAACTACAAATATCCAATAGTCTCCAACTCGACCAAGCCTATTCTCTTCATCCAACTACAAATATCCAATAGTCTCAACTCGACAAGCCTCTCTTTCTCTTCTGGCATCCAACTACAAATAGTCATCCAATAGCCTATTCTCTTCATCCAACCACAAAATTGTCTCAACGACAAGGTCCATTCTCTTCTGGCATCCAACTACAAATATCCAATAGTCCCTAACCCTGACCAAGCTCATTCTTCTCTGACATCCAACTACAAATATCCAATAGTCTCAACTAAACAAGGTCCATTCTCTTCTGACATCCAACAACATCCAATAGTCCCAACTCGACCAAGGTCCTATTCTCTGGCATCCAACTGCAAATATCCAATAGTCTCAACTCGACTAAGCCTATTCTCTCTGGCATCCAACTACAAATATCCAATCAGTCTCAACTCGACCCGCTCTATTCTCTGGCATCCAACTACAAATATCCAATAGTCTCAACTAAACAAGGCCCATCTTCTGACATCTAACTACACATATCCAATAGTCCCAACTCGACAAGGTCCATTCTTCTGACATGCAACTGCAAATATCCAATAGTCCCAACTCCGACCAGCCTCATTCTCTGACATCTAACTACAACATATCCAACTAGCCTATTCTCTGCATCCAACTACAAACATCCAAGGTCCAAGGCCCACTTTCTTCTTTGGCATCCAACTACAACATATCCAATAGTCCTCAACCTGACAAGGTCCACCTTCTGACATGCAACTGCAACATCCAATAGTCTCAACTCGACCTCATCTCTTCTGGCATCCAACTACAACATATCATCCAATAGTCTCAACTCGCATCCAACTACAAATATCCAATGGCATCCAACTAAACAAAGGCCCATCCAATAGTAACTACACATATCCAATAGTCCTAACCTGACAAGGTCCATTCTCTTCCTGACATCCAACTGCAAATATCCAATAGTCAACTCAACTAAACAAGTCCTAACTTCTCTTCTGACATCTAACCACAATATCCATTGTCTCTTAACTCGACGGGGTCCATTCTCTTCTGGCATCCAACTGCAAATATCCAATAGTCTCAACTCGACCTCGCTTCATTCTCTTGACATCTAACTACAATATCCAGTCTCAACTGACCGACAAGGTCCAAATATCCACAACTTCAACTTCGGCATCCAACTACAAATATCCAACATCCAATAGTCTCAATTCTCTTCTTCTGGCATCCAATCACAAATATCCAATAGTCCTTCTAAACAAGGCCCATCCAACTAACATAAATATCCAATAGTCTCAACTCGACCAGGTCCATCCATTCTCTGACATCCAACTGCAACATCCACAGTCTCAACTGACCAAGCCCATTCTCTTCTGGCATCCAACCACATAAACATCCAATAGTCTCAACTCGACCAAGCCATTCCCTTCTGGCATCCAACTACAACATCCAATATCCAATAGTCCCAAACTCGTCTCAACTCGCTCATTCTCTTCTGGCATCCAACCACAAATATCCAATAGACTCAACCTGACCAAGCCTATTCTCTTCTGGCATCCAACTACAACATAATATCCAATAGTCATCCAACTACAACATCCAAAGTCCCCTGTTCTCTTCTGGCATCCAACTACAAACATCCAATAGTCTCCAACTCGACCAAGCCTATTCTCTTCTGGCATCCAACTACAAATATCCAGTCTCAACTCGACCAAGCCTATGTTCTCTTGGCATCCATAACTGGTTAAATATCCAGCTTCCTGAATTCTTCTGGCATCCAACTACAACATCCATAGTCTCGACCAAGCCCTATTTCTCTTCTGGCATCCAACTTCCATCCATATCTCAAATATTCTCTGGCATCCAACTACAAATATCCAAGTCTCGACTCTCGACCAAATTCATTCTGTCTGGCATCCAACTACAACATCCAATAGTCTCAACTCAAGGCTCCATCTTCTTCTGACATCTAACCACATATCCTCTTCTCGACAAGGTCCATTCTCTCTCTGACATGCAACAGAATATCCAATAGATTCAACTCGACCAAGCCTCATTCTCTTCTGGCATCCAACTACAAACATCCAATAGTCTCCAACTCGACCAGCCTATGGCATCATCCAATAGTCTCAACTAAACAAGGCCCATTCCAACTACCATAAATCAACTCCAAGGTCCATTCTCTTCGAGTAAATATCCTCAACTAAACAAAGCCTATTCTCTTCTTGACATCCAACTACAAATATCCAATAGTCTCCAACTCGACAGTTTTATTCTCTCTGGGTCCAACTAAATATCCAATAGTCTTCTGACATTCTCTCTGACACTGCAAATATCCAATAGTCTCAACTCGACCAATTCTCTTCTGGCATCCATTTCTCTTCTGGCATCCAACTACAAATATCCAATAGTCTCAACTCGACCAAGCCTATTCTCTTCTGGCATCCAACTACAAATATCAATAGTCTCAACTCGACCAAGCCTATTCTCTTCTGGCATCAACTGCAAATATCCAATAGTCTCAACTCGACCAAGCCCTATTCTCTTCTGGCATCCAACTACAAATATCCAATAGTC